TAAATGGATATCAGAAAGAATCCAAAATTTTAAAATTTCAAAAAACTTGTATGTACCATATTCAATTTCAATTTCTAACTAGATTTTGACCCGCGCTTGAAAAGCGCATAATTTTTTTATGATTAAAAATTTATATAATTGGGTTTTGTCGTAATTTAAAGAATGTTTTGGTATAAAATTAATTTACCAAAATTTGTGGTGATAGTTGTTTTGCATTATTTTTTAGTTTCAATTTTTGTTTTTAGATTTTGTTTTAAATTTTGGTTTTTGGTTTTTAGTTTTTAAGTTTCTATTTTTGATTTTCAGCTTTTGGTTTGGTTTTTCAATTTTTAGACCCGCTGAGTTAGTTTGAACTGATATTACCAACAAACAAATCTCAATTAATCGAACATGTAATTTTGAAATAGTTTATTTTGTAAATAAAAAAATCAAAACATATAACTTGCGTTTTCAGCTTTTGGTTTTGGATTTTAGTTTTTAGATTTGGTTTTTAGTTTTGCTTTACATTTTTTTAAATCTGTAAATTATTTAAGAAAAATAAAACATTAAATTATTTAAAAGTTACCATTAAAATTTATCAAGATAGAGTGATTGTTATTTAAAATAAAAAATATTAACATGTTTTAAAGTACATGATTTAAATAATTGATTAATAATAGATAATTTTGTTTTGTTGAAAATATTAAATATTTTTGGGCTAAAAATATTAACATGTTTTAAAGTACATGATTTAAATAAGTGATTAATAATAGATAATTTTGTTTTCTTGAAAATATTAAATATTTTTGGACTTGAAAATAGTAATTGATTTTTAATCCATTAAGGTAGAAATTCTTTTTAATGTTTTTGGAGTTTTTCTTTAATACTAAACGCAAAAAACAAACAATTAAATGTCATAAAAACAAAAGTAAGCCCAAAACTCTGTTCCATAAATAACCGCCGGTTTAATTTAAGTAATGCGGTTCAATCAACTATATAACTTGTATTATTTGTAACACTCTAGAAATGGTCCAAATTTAAATGACAACTTGTATCAGTAGATAAAAAGAATGACTTTATTTTAATAGAATAGATATGTTTCCAAAACATATTAAGATATATTGAGTACCTACAATAATTAGTTATTACGTGAATAATTAACTCAAATATTTAGTCTAATATATAGTTTTATTTGGTTAATACTAATGTTTATATTTGACATTACACTGAAGTTTAGTTAAGAATAAATTTATTTTGAAATTTAAACAATGTTGTTATTTTTTTAAATTTAAATAGTATTTCTTACGTTTATAAAATTATTAGCTGTTAATTTTACGTTTTTATATTTAATTATATATGATTTTTGTTCATATAAGACTTTGTTTTGCCATTAATCATGATATGTTTAGAGTTGTCACGTATAACTCAAAAACAAATCTTATATAATTGATAGACGAGTTTCACAATATTATTTTGAAGGGCAATAATATGTTGGAATGAAACTTGTAAAAGAAAGTTTAAAAATGTTGACTTGTAACTAATAAAACAAAGTCCTAACAAATATTATGTATTTGAATATCATATTATCTATTATTTAGTTATCATTAAACTATCACATTTTAAACAATATAATTAGATCAATTTATTTACTTATGTTACTTAATTAATTTTAAAAAATAAAAATTAATCAACTTACTCTTATTTTGAGTTAGATTTATTTTTTGGTATAATTTATAGTTTCTTTTTAATTGAAAAACAAAAAAAAAAATACACCATATCAAAATCTGATAATGTTTTTCTTCTATTAGTCAAAATTTGATAATCCCTGTGTTTGTTTATTGTATTCTGATTTTATATATCAACTTATATTGATTGTAGTTTGAATCCTCTTATTTTCGCATATTAATCCAAACAAATTTTTTAATCCATGTGTTTGTTTATTGTTATTCTGATTTTACTTTTGCTTGCCTGAGTTGCTTTGCCCATAATGATCATTTGATCGGTGTTTTGTGATTTGTGGTTAAGAAAAAGACTAAACTTAGAAAAGAAGGCAACCAAATATCTCAAGTTTGATTAAAAATGAGAAAAGGGGGCTTGTATGCTTGATTTTCTCTATGTCACAATCTAATTGGTATGATAGGAGAGAAGAAAAGACATCATAATAAATAATCGTGATAGATTAGTGTGGCCAAAAGCAAAATGATGTCTAACTTTTCTGGTGCTTTGCCACATTAACACAATTTTCTTCTCTTTCAAGTTTCAACACAGGGTCCTTCAATGAAAACCTATGTTACTTCATTTGTCTCCCTATATGCTCCATGTGTCGGTTTCCTATAGCTAATCCTAACTCATTAGTTATCGTATTTAGTTAGAGCTGCCTAATCCATCTTAATACTAATCGTAATGAAGTCAAAACCCCTTTTTGTCCTCCTTTCTCCACAAGACCACCTTTTTCAATTCTCACTATCCAAGTTCTAATGACACATTCATTGAAGACTTATCGCACTAAAAAAACTGTTTAATGCAAATATATTCGTGCGGTCTAAGGTAGAGAGAGACTCCATTTATCTCACTGAACTCTCTTCTAGATGACTAGATTAAGCAAAGCTTTTGAATAGACCCAAGATAACTAGATAAGTCATAGACTCATACTCATAGGTGAGAAAGTTCCTTTATATTCGTTTTAATATTAGAAAGACATACCCGAGAATCTATATATTTGCTATAATTGGAAATCTCGTAAATAGCATCGACGAGAAGTAGATAACTTCTTTGTGAAATGAACTACACAAAATCGCCTTAAAGGTCTCTAAGGAATGGGCTGAAAGCCCATCACACTTATTTCACCATAAGTCCATGCTACACTTATTTTGTTGCAAGCTCATGCATGCTATATAACCTACAAAAAGTTTATCTAATCGACTAAAATAGAGACATTCTTTTTATCTACTGATATAAGTTTTCATTTAATTTTGGATCATTTCTAGAATGTTACAAATAATATAAGTCTTATATTTGATTGAACCGCATTATTACTTAAATTAAACCAACACAATTAATGTAACATGACGACCTTAATGTAAAGTATCTTCAAAATACGGCAGATATCTATATGTCTACCAAAACACATATTTTCTCCTACAAATATGGAATGTTCTAAAAGAATATATATTATTAAAATATAGAATATGGAAATCTACTAATTATATTAATGTGGAAATCGTAATATACTATTTAGCATCTTAACAATTCCTTAAAAAAATGGAAATTTAATAACTATATGAAACCAATGGAAATCTACTCTATTAAAATAGAGTCTTTCTTTTTATCTATTAATACAAATTGTCATTTAAATTTGGACTCTTTCTAGAGAGTTACAACAAGCCATATATCTACTCTATTAAAATAGAGTCACTATTTTTATCTACTAAGTCATATAGGACCATTTCATTTATTACTTAACATGACATATTAAATTATTTAGGATAATCAATCAAATATATATTATATATGCTGAAAATAATAGATTTACATTCTATTTTTAGTTATAACAGAATCGGTTGAGAGAAAATCTAACAAAATCTTACTAAAAATTTAAATATTTTATTATTAAATAACATAATAATGAATTTCGTAATTAATAATATCATACTATTATACATTAATATTAATTAAAATTTCACTATAATAACTAAAAAGAATCCTATACTATTTTATAAATTTCAAAGTAAAAAAATATAGAATATTATATATTAATAATGTTGAATAAAAACCTACACCAATTAGATTATAAATTTACACAATATATAACATAAAAATATAAATTATATATTTCAAATATTTACATTAATATTAAATAATTTTTTAAGAATGAAAAATATACCCGCATGAATGTGCGGATAAAAACTCTAGTATTCTATTAAAATAGAGTCATTATTTTTATCTACTGATACAAGTTGTCATTTAAATTTGGACCATTTCTATAGTGTTACAAATAATACAAGTTATATGGTTGATTGAACCGCATTACTTAAATTAAACCGGCGGTTATTTATGGAATAGAGTTTTGGGCTTACTTTTGTTTTTATGACATTTAATTGCTTGGTTTTTGGGCTTATTATTAAAGAAAAACTCCAAAAACATTAAATAAACTTTCCACCTTAATGGATCAAAAATCAATTACTATTTTCAGGCCCAAAAATATTTAATATTTCCAACAAAACAAAATTATCTATTATTAATCACTTATTTAAATCATGTACTTTAAAACATGTTAGTATTTTTTAGCCCAAAAATATTTAATATTTTCAACAAAACAAAATGATCTATTATTAATCACTTATTTAAATCATGTACTTTAAAACATGTTAATATTTTTTATTTTAAATAACAATCACCGATCTTGATAAATTTTAACGGTAACTTTTAAATAATTTATTGTTTTATTTTTCTTAAATAATTTACAGATTTAAAAAAAATGTAAAGCAAAACCAAAAACCAAATCTAAAAACTAAAATCCAAAACCAAAAGTTGAAAATTCAGGTTATATTTTTGGCTTTTTTATTTACGAAATAAACTATTTCAAAATTTTTAGAAAATTATTCTGTCATATTTTCATTTTTAAATTACATGTTCGATTAATTGAGATTTGTTTGTTGGTAATATCAGTTCAAACTAACTCAGCGGGTCTAAAAATTAAAAAACCAAACCAAAAGCTGAAAATCAAAAATAGAAACTTAAAAACTAAAAACCAAAAACCAAAATTTAAAACAAAATCTAAAAATAAAAACTGAAACTAAAAACTAATGAAAAAACAACTATCACCACAAATTTTGGTAAACTAATTTTATACCAAAACATTCTTTAAATTAAGAGCCCAATTATATAAATTTTTAATCATAAAAAATTTCTGCGTTTTTCAAGCGCGGGTCAAAATCTAGTTTTTAATATACGAGCGTTCAAACTAATGTTATTGGAATTTGGAATTATGATTTAGTCATTGGAAATTTACAAACATATATTACCAGCATAAAATTTCCATTTTAAAATAATGTTACAATTAACAAAAACAAAGAAATAATCACAGCAGAAGCACCAAAACACTCTATAATGTAATGAACACAAATTTATTTTATGCATTTGAATGCTATTGATAATAATTAGTGCACCAGTCCTGAAGTTAGTTTTTTTTTTCTTCTTTTTTTACGTTACGACCGTCCACAAAACTGATCGGGTAACGCTTGTTTTCTCTTAATTGTTCTGAGGCCATTGTTACTCTTTATCGTCGTTTGATCTTTAGTCGAACCATCATCACTCTTATTCATCTCCAACGTTGAGGAATCCATAAACAAACCACCAGCAGAGACACGTGGAAGCGCCATGGCCACTGGTTGTTGCATCCCAGGGATCGGGAACTGTGGTCTGTGGTTAACAGAGGGACCACCACGGCTCATATCAGGCAAGCCCATTGCATAAGGCATTCCCATACCCATTGCCATTGCTGCTGCTTGGTAATGATGCCCCATACCCGGTGGGAACATAACCGGTGGCATGTAGTAACCAGACGCCATTGACATGAACTAAATGAGATTATTAGTTAGTGTGTTTTTTTTTTTTAAATAAGTTTTTAGGGAGTGGCGAGAGTGTTACCTGTACTTGAAGTTGGAGTGACTTTAGATACTCTATTGCTTCATCTAGCATCGAAGCTTTGTCCACCTTTTTACAACCAATGAAAGGTTTCATGTTAGTGAAGCTGATCAAATACGAAAAAACTAATTGCAACAACATACTTTTTCTGTTTCAGATAATGTGTTATTTTATCACATTTTTCTTGTTACAGAAAATGATTTATTTTAGTATTCCAATGCAACTTGTATTTACTTTAAGCTTAATATTAATTACGAAATGAATTGATCTTCTAAATAATTGTATTTATATCAAATACTATTGGTTAATAAGAACATAAATACATTTCAATAAAGCCGTCTCTAAAAGTGATACTCTTTGCATGAGAGAAAGAAGAGAAGGAGCCAACCTTGTTGCAGTTTGGTATGAGTTCTTGGAGAGCACGCATCTTCTCGTTAATCCTATCACGCCGTCTCTGAAAATTTGAGGACAATAAGTCCGTTACCAAACAGACAAATCCTATTGTAAGTTTAGGACATTCACTCACTGACTCACCCTTTCAGACAGATTATGTACTTCAGCCGAGCGGCTTCTCTTGGAACCCATGCCTGTTCGAGATGGAGCTGCTTCTTTTCTTCCATCTCCTCCTGATTCTCCCTCAACATCCTGCTCAACAATATTGAATAAGAGAATGATAAGCAAGATTTCAAATGTGCATCCAAATGATAAAATGAGTTTAAACTTACTTCGCTATGACATTCAATGTCTTGAACATCCAAATGCTTTCTTTTCAAAGACAGTGATGGACTCTCTAATGGCCCATCGAGACTATTACCAGAGCCAACAGAAGAACATACAACGGCCTTTTCACTCTCTTGGTCTTTTCTATTCGAGTCTTCTGAAACTAGGCAAGCCTTTTGGTTATTATCCTTAGGCATAGCAGAAGCAACAGACTCGTTGAGAACCTTGTCTTTAGCTCCAAGAACTCTGGTCTGAAACACATTCGGCGAGCTTTGCGGACTCTTCTCTTTAGAGACATGATGGTCATTAGGACTCTTAGCCAAAGCTGCAGGGCGTAAGAAATGCGAAAAGTTGATCAGACCAGGCTTGTTACTAGTTACTAACGGTTCCTGTCTCTGAGTAAATTGATCTGGTTTGGCTGGCTTGCTAATAGAATCTCTAGATCTATCACTTGTATACAGAGAATGTGACTGGAAACCGTTGAAGTGTAATGAGGAAGCAGCAGGAGCTGATCCATTGCCATTGTTTCTTCTCTGAAAGCTCTCTTGTTCATTGACAGTAACAGGAGAAACATCATGCAAGAACTCAGAGCAATATCCATCTAGAGATTGATGAGGATTCAGCCATGGAACCAAGTCATCGTCTTGACTCAACCCGGTCATAAGTGACGGCACTGACATTGGGATCTCGTCCACCATTTTCATCTTTGAGCCATTTACAATCTCTCTAGCTCTTGCTTGGTGAATAGATTGTGGTGGTGGAATGTTTCTTGATCTGCTTGACTGGCTTTGAGTTGAAATCTGACCGTTTTCCCAAACCAGCTCAACAACTTCATCCACAGTTCTGTTTTAAAGACAAGCAAGAAAACATGAAGTTGATGAACACCAAAAAAAAAAGACAGTAAGGAAGAGTGACAAGTGAATGAACTCACGGAGAAGGGTTATTGTTTTGAGAAGATTCAAGATTAGCGTTGGCGAGCCTGAAAAGCTCAAACAGAGGCATGTTGATTTGCTTACAGACAGAGACTTTTATCCTGTAAATAAAAAAAGTAACAATCTTAGACCAGAAACAGAGTTTATTAATTTCCATTGCCCAAATTAAGAAACTTTAATTCTCAAATTAGAAATAAAATAGAAAAGAAATCAAAGTCTCTGTCAATACACAAATATAAAATACCAGAAAGATTCATATTAATTAATGCCAATGATTAGTCAAACCAATTGTTTAATCACTGATACAAAAACAGAGTACTCTGAGCTAATTAATCAGCTCTAAAAGAAACAAAAACAAAAATCAAATCTTTCGTCGTGTTCCCTCAATCCTAACATGAACCCACAAAAACCCAGAAACAAAAACATGTCTGAAACCTATTTTCGAAATCTACCACCTTCGCTGACCTGAGAAAACAGAGGAGTACTAGAAACTGAAGAGATCGAAGTCGGCGGAGAAGATATAAAGTGAGATCCTCGAAGCATTAAAGAGACACCAATCCAAATGCAGAGTGTGAATCGAGAGAACAGAGTGAGAAGAAGACGGCAGAGAGAGAGGAGTAATGATCTGGAGAAAGTTGGCAGAGAGAGTAGAAGAGAAGGAGACAAATCGACGGACAAGACGGAGATGGAGAGAAGATGGGGACCGAATCGTGGCACGCACTGTGAGAGAGGATTTTGATTTTCACAGTCTCTGAGACTCTTCCCTCGTACACTCAACTTTTTATCGTCGCTCGAATCATTACCACACTAGTCTTTTATACTCTGTATTTGTTTTTCTTTCTTTCCACTATTTTTTTTAATACCAACGAACATTTATTTATGTTATTGGATATTATTACTATTTTTCAGTTAGTTAACTGTATTTCTTACATACAACTACAAGTATGCAACATCCCAACCTTTTTTCTAACAAAAACTAATTTACATTAAACTAGTCACCGGCAAAACTCAAGACCGAAGATTGTGTTCACCTAGCTAATACCCACTTTTGGGTGTGCGTCCACACAAAGATCGATCTCTAGTCTGGACCTCATAGTGGAACCAAGACACTCGGTTATCAAAAAAAAAAACTAGTCACCAGTTAAAAATCCAAACTAGTGCACATCCAACTTATTTGTGTATGCTAGTGAAAATTGGATAATTAGTTATTTTTATATTATATATGATAATATGACCCAAATCAAAATATGTAATATGGTTTCACATAATTAGTATACCTCTTAATACAACATTAGTCTATTCCCATGTGCTTAATACAATGTGATGTTTTGCTGAAAAATAAATAAAAGAGATAGGGTTATAAAATGAACATTGAGGAGAAAAGGACCTAGAGAAGATAGTTGGGCATGGTTATCATTGGACCAAATTGCGTCTTACCGACTTTTCTGCACACATTGGCTGTCTCTGTTACATGGCACAGTCATATGCATTATTGTTTACAACTGATTCATGGTGTGTCTACAAATTCTTTAGTCAAATATTTACATAGTATATGAAATATAATGGCTCAAAGATAATAGTATAGTAGAATAGGTTATCTTCTCTTAAAGTGGCATGGGCCTGTGATACACTAAAATCGTGTGATGTGTTGTCATAAAGGAACACTGCCAAAATAAGTATCACACACCAAGTGGGGTTGAGCAACCTTAATAATAGCAAAAGACCTGACTTTCTAATCATTGGTATTTTCCACAAGTCTACTATACTAATCATCCTTAAGTTTGGGACTCACTCAGCCAGGTGTATTAATATACAATAACATGGACTTTTTTTGTCAACTAGTTTCGCATTCTAAACTAATGAAAACAATCATTTGCTAATTAATCATTCAGATTTTGTTTAATCATATGATATGCTATACACTCAGTCACTCAGACTGACTCCAAACTCTTATGGTCGATCTTATATCTTACACTCTATTTCTTCCTATAGGTAAAAATACATATTGTGTTTTAATCACGCTAGTATTTATTTTCTGGCTCGTTTTTCTTTTTAGCTGATCAATTATTTTTCTAACTAGCAGTCGATTGACCAGTATGAAATAAAATATAAACTGTAAATGTTGATAATTTTAGTAGCTACTAGGATTTGCATGGACCATATTCATCGCTATATCTTTCCCCCAGGCCCCATCTTACGTAAAATAATAGAATATTCCGTATAATATAAAAAACAAAAAACTATAGAAATCCAAAAACAACCCATCCAAGCAATATGTTAGGCCAATGCTCTAAATAATGACAACACCCTGTCCCTGCAAAATGCACAATCCACCGTGACCGTGGAATAGACCAACATGTATTCGTATCTCTTACTAAAAGCAAATTAAAGATATGCATAAATCTTTTTTCTCACCACAATAACCTTTTCTATTTTTATGGAATTGGCCCGTCTAAAACTTATATGGTCAACTACGTATTATATATGTACATTATCCAAAAACTTATTAAGGACGAAGGTGATGGTGAATATTGACTTGAGAGACGTGGTGACTGCTCACATTTGCAATGACAATCAAGCAACATCGATAGAAATAGATAATGCGTTTCCTTTGATGCAAAATGCTGGCCAGAACAGAATATTTGAAAAGAACTTGTACAGTGTATGTATACACATACTATATCTTATGCAAAATGCAATGAACTTGAACACGTTGACACGCATTTTTAGTTGTCTTTACCAAATATGTCCCCACTTCCTTGGACTGTCCACAAACTAATCAATACCAACTATAAACCAAACCAAGTAAAGTTTCTTTGTGCGTTCAATGTATGAGATCGTTATAAACAAAACCAACCGACATTAATTAACATCTCTACCGGCGACAATGTAAGATTGATACTGTACTTCTTCACTCTTAAACTTGCTGGCATTACAAAAGCACGAAGCTAAAATGTAATACATTGGTTCCAAAACACATCCCGTAATACCATTCGCTTAAGGAATAAGGATGATATAAGTGAAATTCAAAAGATCTTTAAAATAAACCAAAAGAAAATTCGAAGCGTGGCAGTTGAATGTAAAGTCAAACATAAAAAAATTCAAGTGAAAGTTCAATGATGCTTTGCTTGCAAAACAAGCATGGAGACTGATGACACAACCTTACTCTCTCTTTGCTAAGATTTTAAAAGCTCGATACTATAAAGATATCCACATCTTGCAAGCGACATCTAAAAGGCGTCAATCCTATGGATGGGCTTCTATCATGATAGGTATTAATTTGCTCAAGAGAGGTTCACGTTTTGTTATTAGTAACGGAGTCCTGGTAAGACTGTACGAAGATCATTGGCTTCCTACTGATCCACCTAGATGTGCTGCTAGAATCACAGATCAGTCTAATCTAGTAGTTTCAGATATCATTAATTATACGGAATCATCTCAATAGTGGGATATTGAGAGGGCACGTTCTTTGTTGAATGAGGAAGATTTTAATTTAATGCTCCAGATTTATCTCCTCAGACGAAGACTGACGATTTTCTGGTTTCACCTTTTACTACTTTGGGGAACTACACAGTTAAAAGTGGCTACAAAAGAGAAATGATGGACTTTCATAGGACCCGTCCAGATATACTTCCCCCTTCTGCAGACCCACAGTTGAAGACAAATATATGGGCGCTACCGGTACTTCCCAAACTGAAAATGTTCCTATGGCACCTCCTTAAGTTGGCTATTGGAACTAATACACGTTTGAATACTCGAGGAATTCTTATTGATACCCTCTGTCTTTGATGTTCAAGCTCTCCTGAAACTGTGAATCACTTGTTCTTCATCTGCCCACTATCCATTCAAACTTGGAGGTTGAATCAAGTGACTTCAGGTCTTCCTTCAAGATTTACGAATGACTTGGAGAGCAATATGAGAGTATATTATTTAACTTACAATCCTCGCCTTCTCTGACGATGGAACATAAATTAACACCTTTCTAGATGCTTTGGAAGATATGGAAATCAAAAACTATTTGATTTTCAAAAACAAGGTTCTTTCACCGCAACTTGATGCGGGGTACGTTATGGTAGAAGTCAGAGATTGGCTAGAAAGGACAAAGAAGGATTATACACAAACCCAGAGATACTCTGCTCCCCAACTGTCATTGGCAACCACCATCGTCTTATTTCCTTAAATGTAACTTTTATGCAGCATATAATGCACAGTCATTACTCGTTAGTTTACTGCAGGATGGGTAATTAGAGATAGCTATGGAGTTGTGCGATATTGGGAAATGGCAAACCTGGGTCATGCGGTCTCTCCTCTGGTAGCAGAATGTAAAGCTTTATTAGCAACAATTCAATGCGTTTTTAGCTTGGGTTACAAGAATATCATATTTGAAGGAGATTGTCAAGTCTTAATCAAATCCTTACTTAGGCAACAAGTTGACTATAGTATTGTTACAATGTGTAATGATATCAAGAGTTGGAGCCGGCGCCTTGAAGACGTACAATTTTTCGATTTACTCCTCGAACAACAAATGAAGTAGCACATATGTTAGCGAAGAATTGCAATCCCAATAAACTTTTTTCTTCTTTATCAATTCATGTTCCACATTGGTTATCTGATTTGCTGTGTAACGATTACATTACAAGTCATTACTTTGTCAAAAAACAGAAAAATTTAAGTGTACTAGGATGAGTGTGATAGCTCATTGAAATCTTACTTTTTGTATTCTAGGCCCATTTGTTTGTTCGTAAATCAGATTTATAGGCCCAATAAATCGAGCCCAATTAGCCCGCCGTGTCTCGCTTTCCAAACCGATTATATTTTTTTCCTCCGTCGTCTCCTCTCGATTGCGTAAACCCTAATTTCCCCAAACTCGCAGACAAAAACCATGACCCTCCCGTCATCAACGGCGACGTCAACTTCGGACTCAACGCCAACCATTTCCTCCGAGACGTGCAACACTCCCGGCTGCCAAGCCTCCTGGATCATACACTCAGCTCGCCTCCGCGGCATCCTCCGCTTCTACTGCACGAACTGCCTCCTCCGCAACCACCCGGCGTCGTTTTGCCCCACCTGCTTCGCCTTCTACGACTCCTCCCCTCCCCACCAGTCTCGCCGCGTCTCCTGCTCCAAATGCAACTCCGTCACGCACATCCACTGCGCCGGGGACGCCAAGTCCCCTCCTTACCTCTGTCCCCCGTGCCGTGACCCCGACGGCTTCTCCTTCTTCCGCCCCGTCGTCGACGAGAACGGCGTTCGGTGTATGGATAAGGCCCTCTCGGAGGTTTTCTTGTGCGCGGCGAAGATCGCTGCTTCGTCGATGAACAAGGCGGTTAGTTTTTACAGAGGGGAAGCTGAGAGGAAAGGGAGAGAGGCTGCCGTGGCGAAGAAGAGGGCGAGGGAGGCTCTTGAGGATGTGGTTAAGCTCGAGGAGAAGGCGAAGGCGGTTGTGGTTTCGAAGGCGGGTGTTGATCAGAAACCGAAACAGAGTGTTGTTGCTTCGAATGGGGGTTTGAAGCAGAGTGAGGGGTCTGCGACTACGCAAGTTAAGAAACAGAGTCCGTCATCATCAGCGCAAGTTAAGCAAGAAAAGTGATTCTTTTTTTTTGTTTTCTTGGTGGAAAAAAAGGTTCAAGCTTTGGGTATATTGTGATTGGAGTTTAGTGTAGATTTGTGTAAGTGATGTCCTTTGTTTTTCAGTTTCCTTTTGTTTGGGGTTGTTTGTTATGTGTAGGAGTCTTTGGAACTGTGTGGAGTGTTAGGTTTCTAATACTAATTGTTTCTTCTTATATGTATCTTTGTCACATTAGAGGTTTGTGTTTGAGGCTTTGAGGCTTTCATTGGTGTCTCTAGGAGCTTGCTTCTGTAGTAGTTTGAACAACTCCCAAACAGCCAAACTCTTCACTAGTTTTAAGACTAAGATCATAATAATATATTCTAATTAAGTATATAAATGTTTTTTGAACAAAAAAAATGATTAGAAATGTTGCGGAAATGGCTAAAAATATTGTCATTTTTATTTGTCTATCACAATCTACCATTTGCTGCATGTACCATTAAGTATGATAGAGGCAACATCTCTGCTGTTTAAACACACCCAGTAATATATATGTATATATATGAAACATGATCATATTCTCTTACAAGAGACAGTTTTCTTTGAGACTAATGATAGTGTCTCTAAAGCATGACTCGAGAGGAGTGAACTCAACTCCCAAATTCTTCACTTTCTCCACACTCACTTTGTAAATGATTTCTTTCGTCATGATTTCTTTCATCTCACTTTCCCCATTCCTAAAACAAAAGTCAAATGATCTTTTACGCTTTTGGTACACCCTTCGTGTGATGAGTAAGAATGAAAAGGATAGACAAACTCACGTTTCAGCAATATACAAATCTGGAAATAATTCACGTATAGTCTTTTTAATGTCGTTTATCGTCATACTTGGTCCATCAATGATGTATCTACCATTGGCCGAAGGAGTCTCCAACGCTTTGACATGAGCCAAAGCAACATCTCTCACGTCCACAAACCTGTAGTATGTAGCATTGAACGGGTTCTTACCATTTATCATATCCACAATGAATCCAGCCGAAAAATTAAGTGTTGGTTGCAAAAGTGGCCCGATTACAAATCCTGGAATTATCACGACCATGTCCGTTCCATTGTCTTTGGAAAATTGCCACGCTGCATTCTCTGCCAAAGTTTTGGAGAGTGGATACCATAACTGAAGAAGAAAAGAAATGTGTAAGAGACAATCCAAAATTGATGGTATGTAACAACAAATTTAAATGACCTTTAATTCGGTGCAGACACTTGGATCAGAGAAGAAAGTCTCGTCCACCACGTCATTTGGCTCCAAAGGGGGTTTACGAACAAGAACCGCAGCAGTGGACGATGTTAAAATAACTCTTTTGACGGAGGAAGTTTTCTTGCATGTATTAAGGACGTTAAGAGTTCCCTTTACGGCTGGATCTATTAGCTCAGTCTGATAAATAAATAAAAAACTTGCTTTAGACCTTTAGAACGTTAGTAAAAAAGCAATTTCCACGACAAACCTGAGGATCCGTGACGATGTACTTAACGGGAGAAGCCGTATGGAAGACAGCGTCGCAACCTTCGATAGCTTGCTCGAAGGAACATTCTTCCAAAAGATCTGCCTTGAATAGTTTGAGTCTTTCTTTCGCACCGTCAAGTGCAAGAAGATGTTCTGTTTTCGCCGGGTCCGCTAATGAAAAAAATATAACACATACATATCTGTCGTCAAAATGCAAACTCTACAAGTCTTACAACTGACTGGAGAAAACTAGAAATTATGTACTTAGTAATTTAAGTAAAAAAGTGGAAACAATTAAAAGTAGAATAGAAGTAAAGAAAACTTTGCTAGAGAATATTTTTCTACTCGTTGTAAAAAGGAGGATGTATTCAGATAATGGAGAAGAGAAAAGGAGGGCACAAACATGGGTTTCGAACAGTGGCCCTGACCGTGTAGCCACGGAGGAGCAAAAGCTTAACAATCCAAGAAGCTATGTAACCGGAAGCTCCGGTGACGCAGACCACCTTTCCACCGCCGTTCATCTCTCTGTTAGATGAAGATAAAAGCGAAGTTCATTAATATGTTTTGTAATGTTGGTCAAATACGTACATACAGTAAAACCTCTATAAATTAATACTCTATAAATTAATAATCTCTATAAATTAATAAATTTCATTGGTCCCAACTTGGGCCGGTGTAAAATATAACACAAATTGATAAAATAATAAGATAATAATATTTTTAAAACTACCATGTAAATATATGGTCCCACTAAAATCATAAATTAATAATCTAGCTATATATAATTTTATATAAGTACAATCTAACATTATATTGTTGGTTTTATATTTGCTATAAAAATACTTTTATATTTTTAAACATTTCAATATATTTTGATAATATTTAGTTAGGAGTTTTATATTTACTATTAAAATACTTTTATTTTTAAACATTTCAATATATTTTGATAATATTTAGTTAAATTATATCAAAAACCATGTAACAATTCTATGAAACATAAAAATATACACCAAATAAGATAATAAAATAATATAAAAGGCAAATTTCTAAAATTTACATAATGTACATATGCTAAAACAAATATTTTTTTATTTTATAAATAAAAATTGGAAATTTTTAAAAAAAAAATCTAAATAAGGAAACTTTCCTAAATTAATATCTCTATAAATTAATAAAATTTCAAAGTCCCAACATTATTAATTTATAGAGGTTTTACTGTATTAGGAGATAAAACGAGTGGTCGTCCTTCGTTTGGACTGTTTTAAGTTTTAACGTGTCGATGTAGTAAACTCTGCATCGCTTTCTCCTGTTTCATAATCTTAAATGTTAAGAGCATCTTTATGGGGAGGGGGTCCTACTTTTCCACTAAAAACATGTATTGTCGCACCAGATAAGTAACGTTTGTGAAAGGTTTGTTCAACTGTTTTTCGACCCCATAAGATCATCCGCAACAAGGAATCCTTAGGAGGAATCATTAGGAAAAAAGAAAAAGGAATATTTCAGATTATATAAGGATATTTCAGATTATTTCTTTAGAGCACCCCCATCAAGGGTTGATGGGGGGAGTTCACACGGAAACCGAGAAAAAATAATAATATTAAAATTAGATTTCTATGAACCCCTCTTTCAAAAGTTCACCGCGGTGAACCCCGATGACCCCGGGTTCACCACGTGTCAACATATGATTGGTCTAAAATTAATTTTTTTTTTTTAAAAAGTAAACAAAAATAACAAAAAAAAAAATATTTTTTTTATTTCTATGAACCCCCAAGGGGGGGTTCATCAATGTGGGTGCTCTTAGTAGAGCCCATGAATAGTGTAAGGATCCATCCGGATCAATCCTTACATAAGGATTTTATTCTTAAAATTCTTAACTGTTCATGGGACCCATTGATTATAAAAATAATATTTCTTTAAGGATTCTCCCTAAGGACCCCTTGTTGCGGGTGATCTAACTCGTGGCAGCCGATTCCTCTTTTTTTCTCTTTTGAAAAAGCAGATAAATAAAATTTAAACAAAAAAAAACCCCAAATAGGGTTCAAAGTTAAAGATGTTTTAAGAAGTTGATTAGAATTCTAATTTCGTTTTAATAAGTAACAGGACTTTGGATCTGAACTGGTTACATATTTGACAAGTTTATGGCATGGCTAAGTTTTTTAATATATTTGGCAAAAGAATTTAAATATAATTTTTTTTAAATATATGGCCTAATTCTTCTTACTAGTATAAATAGTCATTTTTAATCCAGAATTAGGCTACTTATTCTTTGTAAACTTCATAAATGGATGAAGTCTAGATGACCAAGACTCAACTTATTGAAGAGTTTGCTAAAAATAATATCAAATGTCATTTCTCGTCACAATCTACAATTGGCTGCGTGTATCATGAGTGCTTTGAGATGAGAGGGGCAACATCTCTCACGTCCACGAGCATATAGTTGTTCTGAGCGAAATTTCTGTTTTGTAAGAGTTGGTTGCAAAAATGGTTCAACCTCAAGTCTCTACAACTTCAATTAATACATGATAATAAAATAAAGTTGTAAATACATATATGAGCATGATCATCCTCATAAGAGACATTTTTCTTTGACGCTAATGATAGTGTCTCTAAGGCTTGATTCGGGAGGAGTGAACTCAACTCCCAAGCTCTTCACTTTCTTCAAACACACTTTGTAAATGAATTCTTTCATCTCAACTTCTTCTATCCTACAACAATGTCAAATGATATTATGTTTTTTTGATAGACTTCGTATGATGATTAATTAGTAAGGATGAAAAGGATAGATAACTCACGTATCAGCAATACACAAATCTGGAAATAATTTACGTATAGTCTCTTTAATGTCGTATATCGTCATACTGGGGCCATCTATTATGTATCTGCCACTGGCTGAAGGAGTCTCCAAGGCTTTGACATGAGCCAAGGCAACATCTCTCACGTCCACGAACCTGTAGTATATTGACTTGAAAGGGTTCCTACCATTTATGATATCCACAATCATCCCTACCGAGAAATTAAGGGTTGGTTGCAAAAGTGGCCCGATTATAAATCCTGGATTTATCACGACCATATCCATTCCGTTTTCCTTGGAAAATTCCCACGCTACATTCTCTGCCAAAGTTTTGGAGAGTGGATACCATAACTGAAGAGGAATGAGAAATGTGTAAGAGATATTCCAAAATATCTAAAAAAATAATGTCACAGGAAAATCCAAAGGGACCTTTGTTTCCATGCAAAAACTTGGATCGGAGAAGAAAGTCTCGTCCACCACGTCGTTTGGCCCCAAAGGGGGTTGACGAACAAGAACCGCAGCAGTGGACGATGTTAAAATGACTCTTTTGACGGAGGAAATTTTCTTGCATGTGTTAAGAACGTTAATAGTTCCCTTCACGGCTGGATCTATCAGCTCAGTCTGATTTAAAAAAAAAAACATATTGATAAATATGCTTTAGAATTTAAAAAAACGTTAGAAACGGTTCTGTTAAATGAATTAATTTCCGCGCCAAACCTGAGGATCCGTGACGATGAACTTAACCGGAGAAGCCGTATGAAAGACAGCGTCGCAACCTTTGATAGCTTGCTCGAAGGAATTTTCTTCCAGAAGATCTGCTTTGAACAGTTTTAGCCTTTCTTTTGCACCCTCAAGTGCAAGAAGATGTTCTGTTTTCGCCGTGTCCCCTAAATAATTTTTTTATTTTTATCATACATGTCGTCAAAATGCAACTCTACAAGTCTACAGGAAATGGAAGTAAATAAAACTAAAATGTATGCTGAAAAGGGTGAAAAGTCAGCATTCAAAAAAACACAATATGTATAAGAAACAAACTAAAAGTAAACATTAAATTAAATAGATGTCACTTAAGAACTTCAATTCGAGTTTTATGGTTTAATTGGATACTAGATTTTTAACCGCGGATATTTCCCGTTTTAATAAAATTTGATTAAATATATAACTTTTAAATAATATGGAAAGTATTAGTTCCCATAGATGTATGAAATGTTTGCTTTCTAATTTAAATAAATAGAAGTTAATGGTATAATTTTGTAATTTTTTTCAAAAATCAAAGACCTAATCTTAAGAATAATTATGCTTTAATTGTATAGATGAATTTGGGTGTTCCAGGTAAAAAGACAGTACATTATACTAGGATAATTATATATGTTATAAATATATCCTATATATTCAGTGTTAAAACTTGCTTTATAAACATCATTTACATTTTTTATTTTTTATTTGATATATAAAACGAAGTATATTTATCCAACATATTCCATATTTATCTAACATTTACAATATATTATTTTATTCTCATGTCTTAAAAGTTCAGCCTAATTCTTTGTATTTTGATTTTTTTTATTATTAATGAAATTCAAGAGGTTCTATCAAAATTAACATTAGAATTTCCAATTTTCTTTTCTTGAAAAACTTCTAATCATCCCGAAAATTGCAGTCTCATGGCTTGAATAATTTTTTTCCATCTTGTCAGGTAAATGAAGTTTCGCTCCAACCAAAAATGTTCCATTTTATTTATCTGACCTACATATGTGGTATACTAAAAGAACTGAAATTTTCTCTAGAGAGTATCTTTCTATTCATTGTAAAAGATGATATATTCAGATAATGGGAACGAGGAATGAGGAAACAAACTTGGATTTCGAACCGTAGCCCTGACGGTGTAGCCACGGAGGAGCAAAAGCTTAACAATCCAAGAAGCTATGTACCCGGAAGCACCGGTGACGCAGACCACTTTTCCTCCGCCGTTCATTTCTCTTTTAGATGAAATTAAGATAGATCTGCATTAGGGAGAGGAAGTGAGTGGTCGTGCATCTTTTGGACTGTTTTAACGAGTGGATGTAGCGAATTCTACATTGCTTTCGACAGTTTCATGATCTTAAATGCTAAGAAGTTGATAAGAATTTAATTCCATTTTAACAAGTACTCCCTCTATTCTGAAAGATATATATTCTAGTTTTTTCACACTTTTTAATAAAACACAATAAATTTGCATAGTTTTTTGTATTTATTTTTTGTTCCATAACTTTAAACCAATAAAAAATCAATAAGTGCAATTAAGTTTTTTGAAGTTTACATTTAGTTAATAAAACATGCATTGAAAATATAAAAAATAGATATTTTAGGAACAAACTTTTTTTCTATAATATGTATCTTTAAGGAACAGAGGGAATATATAACAAGAGTTTGAATCCGAATTGATTACATTTTTTTGAAACACACTTATATTAATTAGGCCAACCATATTAGGTGAGTGCCATTACTACAACTGCATCAGCCAAAGCTGTTTTTGCAAGGTTATCAGCAACTATATTACACAAACGAGGAATCCATCCAAAGGAAATAAAATCAAAGGAAGCTAAGCAAGAGTGGATGTCAACCACAATGCTATAGAGCTCAGATATTGGTGATACAGAATTCACTGCTTGGATGAGTTGCAGCGAATCCGATTCGCAGCTGACGTTAGAGATCTCCATTCTCTTGCATCTAAGGATAGCCTCACGAAGCGCTAATCTTTCAGCAGAGAGGGGTGATCTGACGGAAAACTCCAGTGTTGAGAAAGAGATAGTTCTATTTAGATGGGTCATTGTCCAGCCGAGTCCCGCTGTCATCTTGTCGTCCTTCCAGGCCGCATCAGATCTGGTGATTGCACGATTCCGAATTGGTTACATATATGACACGTTTATTTTTAATACGTTTGGCAAAAGAATTAAAATATTAAATTATCCAAATATGTGACCAAATTCTTCTTACTAGAATAAAATTGCCATTTAAAGGAAGTGCAATCCACAACTAGGCTACTTTTCTTTATAAACTCCATAGATGAATGAATCAGCTTCAAAAACCTATACATCATATTATTTGATATGAGAAAGTGAAACATCTCTCTCAAGTCTGCAAACTTGTAATAAAAACTATTGAAAGGGATTATTTACATATACTACTATGCTATTGAAAATCTTATGTTAGTTATGTCAAAACAATCCAGGACCATCTCATTAAGAATTACATTTTTATAATAAATCATTCCAAATCCCATATGAGTGTTAGTTATGTCAAAACAATCTAGATGAGCAAGATTCAACTTAATTATTACAGAATTCGCTAAAAATATTTTCCAATGACATTTGTCGTCACAATATACAATTGGCTGCATGTGCCATGAGTGCTTTGACATGAGAGGGGCAATATCTCTCACGTCAAGAAACGTATACATGTTTTTTTTTTTTGAGAACTGGCATACACGAACGTATACTTGTTATGAGCGAATTCCGTTTACAAGAGTTGGTCGCAAGAGCGGTTTAACGACAAGTCCGCACAATTTAAATACATCCAGCAATAAGTTGTACTACATATATGAACGTGATCATATTCTCACAAGAGACATTTTTCTTTGAGGCTAATAATAGTATCTTTAAGGCTTGATTTGAGAGGAGTGAACTCAACTCCCAAATTCTTCACTTTCCCCAGACACACTTTGTAAATGATTTCTTTCGTTTTACCTTCTTCTTTCCTAAAACAAAGTCAAATGATGTTACTTTTTTTTTTTGGTTATACCCTTGATTAAGTTTATTGACTTCGTATGATGACTAATTAGTAAGAGGATGAAAAGGATGGAAAACTCACGTCGTATCAGCAATACACAAATCTGGAAATAATTCACGCATAATCTCTTTAATGTCGGTTATCGTCATACGTGGGCCATCCATTATGTATCTGCCATTGGCTGAAGGAGTCTCCAACGCTTTGACATGAGCCAAGGCAACATCTCTCACGTCCACGAACCTGTAGTATATTGAGTTGAAAGGGTTCCTACCATTTATCATATCCACAATCATCCCTACCGAAAAATTAAGGGTTGGTTGCAAAAGTGGCCCGATTATAAATCCTGGATTTATCACGACCATATCCATTCCGTTGTCTTTGGAAAATTCCCACGCTACATTCTCTGCCAAAGTTTTGGAGAGTGGATACCATGACTGAAGAGGAATGTGAAACGTGTAAGAGATAATCTAACTCTCATAATTGATATGTCACAAAAAAATAATAATAACAAATCTAAAGGACCTTTGTTTCCATGCAGACACTTGGATCAGAGAAGAAAGTCTCGTCCACCACATCGTTTGGCTCCAAAGGGGGTTGACGAACAACAACCGCAGCCGTGGACGATGTTACAATGATTCTTTGGACGGAGGAAGTTTTCTTGCATGTGTTAAGGACGTTAATAGTACCCTTTACGGCTGGATCTATTAGCTCAATCTGATAAATATGCATTAGACCGTTAAACGTTAGAAACGGTTCTACTTAATTACTAATAATAAACATTGCAATTTTACAACAAACCTGAGGATCGGTAACGTTGAACTTGACCGGAGAAGCCGTATGGAAGACAGCGTCGCAACCTTCGATAGCTTGGTCGAATGAACATTCTTCCAAAAGATCTGCCTTGAACAGTTTTAGTCTTTCTTTTGCACCCTCAAGTGCAAGAAGATGTTCTGTTTCCGCCGTGTCCGCTAATGAAAAAAATATAAACTTTACAAGTCTTACAACTGATCGATGTAGACAATTTATGTTTTAATAAGATAGACTCAAAAGAATAGAGTTATATATAGAAAAATTAAATAGATGCGGGTCCCAAATAGATGCTATCCATTTTGGGAAAGATTGACAAAAGCTATAAAGTAAAATAAAATGATGTAAATAATTAAAGAAGATAAACCATTTAACGATACATTCTCATAAAAATTATCAAAAGAAGAATTCTCATAAAAAGTTCCATCTCTATTTCTTACTAGTAGCCATGATCATCGGTAAAACGACATGCATCAGAAATTCTCATTTACATGTATTTTGAGCTACTTTTAATCATCCCTAAGAATTGCAATCTCGCTACTGGAGAGTATCTATAATGGAAAAGAGAGGAGGGAGGGAACAAACTTAGGTTTAGAACGGTAGCCCTGACGGTGTAGCCACGGAGGAGCAAAAGCTTAACAATCCAAGTCGCTAAGTAACCCGAAGCTCCACTAACGCAGACCACCTTTCCTCCGCCATTCATCTCTTTTTTTTTTCTGTCTGATAGCAAATTGTTTTAGATGAAGAGAAGAGAGATGTTGTCACTAATGGGATTTGTAATTTTGGTCAAATACGTATTAGGTGGAGATATAAGTGAGTGGTTGCAGAGTGATAGAAGACAATTGCGTACATCTTTTGGACTGTTTTACCGTGTGGAATGTGGATGGACATGGACTGGTTACCTATTTTGAGACGACGTTTTTGATTTTTCAGTTTTGCTTGGCAGCTAAATTAAAGTATTGTCTTTTTTTATAAATGTGACAAAATTCTTCTTAATATACAGTGAAACTTCTATAAATTAATAATATTAGAACTACACCAAATTTTTTTTTATTAATTTAGAGAGATATTAATTTATAGATATACTAATTGAACCAAAACACTATAAGAAAACTAAGCCTTTACTAGGAAACTTTACTAGGAAAATAATTCCTCGTAAAATTACTACGCGTTTACTTCGAGTTTACGAGGAAACCACTTTTCCTCGTAAAGTTCTCGTAAACTTACGAGAATACAGTTTTCTCGTAAATTCGTAGTAACTTTATGTGGCCCTTACGAGGAAAATAAAATTTTCCTCGTAAACTCATAGTAATATTTTTCCTCGTAACGTCCTAGTATTAGTTTACTACGAAATTAGGAGGAAGAAACTTATTACTACGAAATTAAGAGGAACTGGATAGAAAATATCAAATTTAAATCAAAACGTGTTTTGTACCTACTTTTCCTAGCAATTTCCTAGTAAATTCTCAGATTCGAAAATTTCTATAAATGCCACCGTATGTGATTCATTTGAATCACACAAAAAAAAAAAATCAGCTATAAGCTTGATCAAACACAAAAAAAATGTCCGGTCTGGGAAATATTTTCGAGTTGCGGAAGTGGATGTATTCACAGAGAGATAATAACGGGAGGGTGACGAAAGAATTTATCGAAGGGTTGGAGACGTTTATGCATCAAGCAGATTCTACACCACTCACGTAGGAAAGTGGTAAGATGTTCTGTTCTTGTCGGATATGTTGCAATACCAAATTAGGCCCTCGTGAAAATGTTTGGAAGCGTTTAATAAATAGAGGTTTCATGCCATATTATTATATTTGGTATCAACATGGAGAAGATGCTAGTTGTAGGAATGAAGGTAGCAGTAGTAATCAGGTTGAACCGGTTGATCATTTGCGTAATGAAGGTAGCAGTAGTTATAGCTATCATCACCAAGAGGAACAAATGGTAGATTGTGATAGGGTTCATGATATGGTAGGTNGTTGTAGGAATGAAGGTAGCAGTAGTAATCAGGTTGAACCGGTTGATCATTTGCGTAATGAAGGTAGCAGTAGTTATAGCTATCATCACCAAGAGGAACAAATGGTAGATTGTGATAGGGTTCATGATATGGTAGGTGATGCATTTGTAACTCATGATGATGATGAAGTTGAAGAACCTAACTTAGATGCAAAAAAGTTCTACGAAATGTTAGAAGCTGAAAATGAGCCAATTTACAGTGGTTGTAGAGAAGGTCTGTCTAAATTGTCGTTGGCTGCTAGAATGATGAGTATGAAAACCGATCACAATCTACCTGAAAATTGTATGGATGCATGGGCAGACTTGTTTAAAGAGTATTTGCTAGAAGACAATGTGTCTGCTGAATCTTATTATCAGATTCAGAAATTGGTATATAGTCTTGGGTTGCCCTCATAGATGATAGACGTTTGCATCGACAACTGCATGATTTACTGGGGAGATGATGAGAAGTTAGAAGAATGTCGATTTTGTAAGAAGCCACGATTCAAACCGCAAGGTCGAGGGCGCAATAGGGTACCGTACCAAATGATGTGGTACCTACCAATCACAGACAGATTGAAAAGATTGTACCAATCTGAGGAGACTGCTGGAGGGATGAGATGGCACGCCGAGCATACTCAGACGGATGGAGAGATGACTCATCCATCAGATCCAAGAGCCTGGAAACATTTTAACAATGTACATCCACATTTCGCTAAACAATAGCCGGAATGTGTATCTTGGATTATGCACTGATGGATTTAGTCCATTTGGAATGTCTGGGAGACAATATTCATTGTGGCCGGTCTTTCTTACACCGTATAACCTGCCACCGGAGATGTGCATGCGACGAGAGTTTCTATTCATGAGCATATTAATACCTGGTCCAAAACATCCAAAAAGATCTCTCGACGTTTTT